GCTATCCAAATTAATTATCTCGCTTTATTTGCCGCGCTTATGTATACAAGAATAGAGGGCGTCTAGAATGCACTCGCCTCTTCATGAACCTTCTAGACACTTATCACGTGTTACCAGCGTCACGTGACCTCCGCTGTCGTAACAGTATATTTAATTAGCTGTACAGGTGGCCACGTTGATTTCGAAGTTCGATCTAACTAGATAGATTTCTGTGATCTGAAGCTTTTATTATTTAACACCCTACTTTCAACTTTATTACTTCACTTCTCTAACAGACCCAACACAAGCAGTTTATTGAATTAACTAATATTTTTTTTTAATTCCTGAATCAATTATACGTTCTAATGAAGAAAAGACCAAATTTTAAATCATCACAATGGGCAATCTGCACTGTGGCCACCGCGGTTTCGAACCCTGATTTTTAATGCACTGAGCCACCGGAGTGCTCTAGGCTATGATTTGAAGAAACTGTATCTGAGAATAGTATGTTCTGAATTTCGCGCAAACTTACACGAGGGAAGGCAGCTAGTCATCACCAAATAATAGTGGGATTGACTGTCACACTATATCACCACCAGGGCTGAAAGGGTGAGCATGTTTGGTGGGATGGGGGATTCGAACCCGCGACCCTAAGATTGCGAGTCAAGCGCCTTAACCACCTGGCCATGCCGGGCCCCATCTGAGAATATAAATAGTATGCTGGTAATGCTGTCTGTTCTGTGCCTATCACGAGTATCGAAACCCGATTTTTAGCAGTGTGAGCTCTCAGACTTTCCGCTGAGCCATTAATGCGAATCATTTACTTAAAGCTGAGAACTTTTAATGTAAAATATAACAAACTTTAATGTGAAAAACAACAAACAACACACACACACACACACACAAACGTGAAAACTACAGTCCTGTGAGATTTATCACAAAGTTTAATGTATTTCTTTAGTTTATGACTGAACAGTTTTGTTTATATTAAATCTAAGTTGTTTTGAGGCAACGGGAAAGTGTTTACTCTCTCTCATATTGATAGAAGAAGATAATTAACAATTAATAAAAACGCACATTCATTGAATCGTTGAAGTATTTATATCATTATACCTCTTTTCAACGTTTAAAAGAAATATCTCAAACTTAGTTTTATTGTAAACCAATAGATGGCAGTAAAGAATATAGTGCACAGTTTCCACTACCGAATACACCAATGAAAATCAATTTTGAATCTTACGTCAGTCCCAGCTTCCTCAGCCTAATGCTTTTGACGTTTCAGGCAGTAGCGTCTTTGTTTGGAGGGTTTTATTTGTGTATTCAATCAGCGATGTAATGTAGATGATTCTTATGTATTTAATCAGCCATTAGTCATTGGTTTTTGAAGATTCTCATTGAGAATACTTGGTTAATTATTCTCAAGTTCAATATGGAATTAAAATGAGTTTGGTGAACTTCTTGTGTGTCGTTTGTAGTGGTACTTGAAAGCTGCATCTGTCTGAGGCTGGGGCTTTTTGGTGGGGCGCCATATTGTTTTAGGAGCAAGACAAGGAATAACGGTTGCAAAAGTTGTGTTCTTGCCTTTGTGGGATTATTTATCTTTCTCTGTTTATTGTACAAAAGCCAATGGATATTTACGAAGGATAACATATCTGTATAGGATTTACATTTCCATTTTACATTGCGTGCACCTTGTTTTTAGAAAAGGTGAATCAGCGTTTGTGTTGCTTTAAACTTTTTTCACTAAAGTAGGTTTTTAGGACCTTTTTTTTTTCGTACACCTTTATAGGGTTTGCATTTTTTTTGGAAATTATTTAATGATGATATTATAGACTTGTTATTCTTTCAAGTTATGATAATGAACTTGAATTTGCAATTTTTAGTTAAAGATGTCTGAAGAAAGCTCAAAATTGTATGTTTTTGTGACTTAGCTTTTAAAGTATCCTGCTTTGTGACAGAGCGGTATTTCGTAGAGTTGCTATTTAATTAAACTGAAATCATGAAAGGCAGATTACTGTTAACTCGCCATCTGTTGTTTTGTATGTGTATGATGTGTTGGCCTTCATTTTGTATATCTAATCTTAATATATGAGCAAAAGCAATGCGTATAATCGAGTAACCAGAGTTCTTGCACAGATGCTGTGTAATTCACTAAAGGCATGATGTTTTCTGTAATTCACGGGAATAGTTTGAATAGGGGACTAAGAGTTATGGGTTGCTAACAAGACCGTATTCCAGTTGTAATTAATCAAGGGTTCTATATATGATTGTTACCAATGGACTGTTTTATATGTATATATATAAATTACTACCACTACAATGGGACCAATAGAAAAAAAAAACGGTTCGTGATATATTCGTGAATGAATTCTTGCTGTATAGTAATATCTGAGGAAATTTCTATATAGACATTAAAAATTGGGTACTAAGTTTTATCTGTATTACAATAACTGACGTCCCAACAAGAAGAATTGGGATGTGTGAACATTGTAATAAAGTCATACGAAAGAAATTTGAGTACTGTGTTTTCGAGCCTTGACATTTAATTATAGATTTAACACAAATTATTTAAATAAGAAAAATTAATCTTCATAAAGCAGTGTTAAAAAAAAATTACAACAATTATTTATTGTGAAATGATACCATTATTATTGACCACCTAAAAATGCAATTCCGGTAGGAAATTTCAGTAATAAATATGGAGAAAAATGATACGATGGTAGACGAGTTATATATTCTCAAACCCGATCACTCGGTTATTGTTCATATGTTGATACAAATTTCTAATGACCGTGAATTTTAGTAAGATTTACAGCTATTACGATTAAATGATTTATGTCGTAATGTCAGTAACGGGCAAATTAATTTTAATACGTTTCTCACCACACAGAAAGGGGGGGGGGGCAAGGTCTCTCCAGGGGAAAAAAAAAGTACAGTGTGTTGAATTCATAGTCAGAAGCGGAACATGGCGGAAACCACAACCAACCTCGTTTGCTGTTGCCATAGGCTCGACTGTAGCTCGAGGAGACGCGCTCGTACTTTACCGCACAGCGCGAGAGGTAGCTGCCAACATGACGTCATTTGAACGGTGGAGATCGTACGTGTTGTGCGGTTCGCAAGCAAAACACATCGTGCATGATTTTTGTTAGATGGGCAGTGCATGAGAAAAGACATGAAGACCTGATGTCGGCCCTTGTGCAAGATGGTTAGAGAGACTAGACATCTTTGGATTGGAAATTTACCGGATAATATTCGTGAAGAGAGGATATTGGAGCATTTTAAACGGTATGTGAGTGTGTGCCGTCAAATTTTGGCGGACTCTGTGTGTGCTTCGTTTACTGGCATGTGTTCTCGAGGCCAATCAGCTGCATACGTAAGTCATGCCATTAGAATTAAAGGGGAGTGAGCATATCTATGAAACATAAAGTGATACGTTGTGGATGACTAATGTTTTCTTTTCAAAATGGCATAATTTTTTCGAGCGTTTTTGGTTTACTGTTTTGATGAGAAATTGTTATTTTAAGTTTTCTCAGTCATATGGATTCCTCGTGGGCAAACCTGTATCAGTGGTTCTCGTTCATGATACCCGCGCAGCAGCGGCGCGTGGGCTTGGAGGCAGTCTGTGGTGGAATCATTTTTGTGTTACTTGTTTTGTTGAAAATTTTAGCTCATTTACATTTGTCTAGCTTTATTTTTGGTGATTTAGTTTTCTTATAAAAGTATATATGTCCTTTCATTTTCAAGAACATACGTTTACGTTCGTACATATCTAGACTGAATTGATTATCGTTTCTTGTTTTCTTTTTTTTTGTTCTACCATTGTTTGGGTATATTCTATACGAATATCACGAGGTTGAGAGTAGGCTTCTTATAACTTTGTGGTTTCATTGAAGCTGTGTGGTGAGATGAGCGATTTTTGTTACCTGTAAGGTTCCATGTAATTCAAAATGGATACATTTTGTTGCGATGTTACTGAGCTCGTGTGTATGTGTTCTACTTTCTCTAAATTGTTTAATACATAATAGTTGAATCTTGAGATAAAAGCACTAAAGTTTTTATTTTAGTATGAGTAGTTTTAGTAACTTCTAGTGATGTGTTTACAAATTACAGATATCACTCATACAGCTCATTTTATCGTTGCAAACAACGGTCGAATTTGGGTTGGACCCTTTTAAGTTTGTTAGACTCACTAGGTCATAGTTCATTGAAATCCTTAGAAATGTAAGGAGAGGCACAGTTACATCGTTGTTCTGTCATTCAGAAGAGCCCAAGGTTCTGTGTATATGTATATATAATACATACATACACTGGGTGTTAAGTCAATGATAGTGTGTTAACTCTGTAACATTAATAGTATTTCAACAATACCACAAAGCTTCACGTAACAACTTTTTGAATTTATTCAAATATAATATTAACTAATTTCAACAACACGTGATTACACCATATCGGTTGAAACGAAACTTTCACCAATTTATATGGCGTGATATGTCAAAGTTCGTTCTATGTGAGACTGTATCGTATCGTGCTCTCTGTTTGTTTTTTTTCTATAATGAGTAATCAAGTTATGATTTCCTTACGTGATTTTGTAACCTTTACGTTTCATTGTTTAACAGTTCCTTGGTCGGTATTTCTAAAATTATTTTATGTTAATTGACGCATTTTAAATATATTTCATGTTTTACTTCATTTGTATAAAAGTACTTTGTTCACTAATAACTGAAAGCTGGTAATTACAATATTTGGTTTTCGGAAGTGGCAAGAGGCGTTTTCGGCTGTATCTTGGTAAATTCAGTTTTAAGTGATATGTCAAGTAAACGATAATATCACAGTGGAGAGGTTCATCTACAACGTCACCTTGTTACAACTTTTATAACTTGCTAGATTTTTTTTTTTCACTTTTCGTCCTGTAAATGTTGTTAATTTCTAATAAAAGCACAAACTTGCGATTAACACTTACTTTTGTTTACAAAGACATTGAAGATACGGATATGGAATAACGTCTAGTAGACAAAGGTCGGCTAAATTGCATTAAGTTCCCAGACCCTTATGTAATAAAGTCGTGGGAATTTTTGTTCTTGGTCACGTAGTATTCATAGCCGTTACAAGTCTCAGACAATTATTTTGAATTGTGACTTGTATTTAGATAACCAGGTAATCCACTCATAATTCACTAATAAAGAGCATATGAACCTGTGAGTGTTATTTCTATGCACTTTGTGTTTAGTTCTACACAAGCCATTTTAATATGAAGTACGTAAATATACCTTAAACTTAATGACCTTATTCACCTGAACCGTTATATCATATAGGTTAGAGAAAATTGTCGAACTGTTTATAATAGTAAAGTTTTAAAGACATAAATTGTCTGTAAAATACCAGTTGTACATTTCCCCATAAAAGTACTTATTGCCTCGAGGGTTTTACAGCCCCAGGGATTGTGGAAAGCTACGAAGCCAGTGAGCTACAAGGGCGTTATGTCACAATCACCACTTGAACTATAGGGTGATGATAAAGAACAGCTCATATTTAAAATGGTTATTGCTATAAAACCACTTTACTTCAGGGAACTAAACATGTTAATATGAGATTTTATTCGAGAAAGTCTGGACTAGGTGTATATGTTTAAAACACTATCACAGAAGGTGCTCAAGATGTCTCAATCAACATGTTAAACTTATCCCCAAACAAAACTACAGTAAGCATCATCTGTCCCGAACAGTGTTCATTTAACAATGACATATCTAACACGCATGTTATTCAGAAGTAGTGATCCTTTACGAGAAGATTATTTATGAAAGCAACATTTGATTTTAAACATCTTGTACCAGTCCAAACTTAACCGAATAATTTTTTGTTTCTCATTGTGTTTCTGGTGAAATTTTGTTCCCCTTAGGTCAAACGGATTTTAAGGTATAACCATTTTAAAAGTGGGGGTTATCGTTAAAGTTACTCTGTACTTTCATAACGTGAAAATAGGACAGGACATACTTTTCTTTATTCATTAATCAGCTTCGAACCTTTTATTAATAACGTTATTGTTTCATCCATAGTTTGAATCTCGTGCTATGGATTTTTAAATTTGGGCATTACAATATTGTTACCAGTTTTGAACACTTTAACATTTATTTAATGTGTTTGTAAATTTATATATATATATATATATATTGTCCTTTTTACATTTTTATTAAAACGTTATGATACAAAATGCACAACAAATAATTTTGATATGTGATGTTTTTACAACACTGTAATGTCTAAATTAATCGTTTAATTAACAAGTAGTTCAACAGTATCACGTTAGGGTAATATTTACAAAGAATAAGTAATACTTTGTAGTGTCCTCTGCTGGTTTAAAGGAGAGTTATCACATGTTTCACAGTTTTGCCCCCCCCCCCCCCCAATTTCAGTGTTTAAAAAATGTACTTCTACATAATTCTTGGCTTATGCTTTCAAACTCTGATATAAAAATGTTACTGTCTGGCTTAGAGACTCGTAATAACTGGATTTAATCAGATTCGTAGCATTTTAAAAGAGGAATTTGATTTTGAAAGTAGGCAAAAGTGGTAGTTTGTTAATATCAATCATGATTAACATGTTAAATGTTTTCGCATTTCATTAATACTGCAACATATTTAGATGATAGCATTCAATGTTTCGTTGAATGTAAACCAATTATATAAACGTACGAATAATACTTAATATGAAATTACTATCAGTTAAAGATACGATAAGCTAAAATAGCTAACGCAGCCATTGAACGTACTCCCTCCAGAAGCCATGCAAGTTACTGAGTGGACTATGGCAACGCCTCACGTGGACATTGGATTTCCTAAATACGATATTCCCTCCCCGTTTTTCTTTTTTTTTAGTGTGTTATTGCTGTGTGTCTTGACCTTGGACCTTGTACGAATACTGGAAGATAATATTTTGTATTCGACACATATACGCAATCCGTATACAGCTATCATTGAGCTTTGAGATAGACAAAGACACTTTTACTTCAAATACTATTGATATCAAGATAATAAGAATGCGAAGATAAATAACAGTACGTGTTGGTCTTTTTTTATTATATTTCTATTCTTCAAAGACAATAAATCACGTTGCAAGTGCTCATATCATTAGACAACATTATTGTTAAAACCATATAAGATTGTCTTAAATTAGTTAGAAAAGTACACCAGTACAATAATAGCTTATCTGTTGTTCTGACCAAAGTGACGGATGAAAATTCGTTTCCTTAAAACACTGAAAAAAAAAAGATGCACATTTTAGTTATAATTTAGGAAGTAAGTTCATTGTCAAAGTAAAACTAAGTAGAAAAGAAGATATTATTAAAATAGAGTATGGGGGTCGCGGGTTCGAATCCCCGCCACACCAAACATTCTCGCCCTTTCAGCCGTTGGGGCGTTATAATATGACGGTCAATACCACTATTCGTTGGTAAAATAGTAGCCCAAGAGTTGGCGTTGGGTGGTCTTTCACTGCTAAATTAGGGAGGCTAGCGCAGATAGCTCTCGTGTAGCTTTGCGCGAAATTCAAAACAAACAAATAAAATAGCGTACCTGAAACTGAGGTTTGATCATGACAAAATTAATATTCCGAGCCTTTCATAAGATAATGTTTGAAAAAAAAAGAACGAATTTTTTCTCTCAAAAATATAAATAAATTTGCTATCAATTTACTTTGTTTTTGTTTTAAGAAAATGTAAAAATATCAGTTTCTGCCCTCTTCATTTTTAATGTAATATTTATCGAATGATGTATTTTGTAAATAGAGTTTTCTTTAGATTACAAGTTATTTCCAAGACTAAGGTGCTGATACTAACATAGTTACAGTTCAGTAGCATAGAATAGAACTGGGCTAAGATTGCCTTTGAGGAGCTCAACTCTCTGTGCCTTCACCTCTCCTTTATTCTCCAGCCCCCCCCCCCCCCCAATTTGCCAACTTATCATATGACATCAAATAATACTTGTCATTAACAAATGATACGAGAGGTTAAATAATTGCAAACCACTGATGGTTACAGTAACCATTACTTGAATCTTCTCTTATATGCGTTGACAAAGACGTTAGTGGGTTTAAGTTGAAACCTATTTCTGCTTGACGTACACGACCCCGTCCCCTTAGATTTTCTTAACGAATCGAACTTCGTTTTGCACTCGCAACTGTCACTACGATGATTAAAAACATCATACAAGCTGTGTGCACGTTTGTGAGACTCGATAAATAATTGTTCTCAAACGATTAGCAAAAGAGCCAACTCTTTGGCGGTAGGTACG